ATTCAAATGTGACTAGTGGCAAGTGCCACTCTTCACAGAATCATAGGATTGTTCAGGTTGGAAGGGACCTCTGGAGATCATCTAGTCCACCCCTGCTTCATAAGCACTTCCCTGGATAGACTAATGCTTTCAATAACAATTTAAAGTTGACCTGAATTAAAAGCTTTGGTAAAAAAAAAAGCTCTCAAAGGTTCTCAAACTGGGCAACCTCCAGGTATGCAAGATATAAATGGTTGCTTATGGTGCCGGCGTGCCAAGGGCTGGAAAACAGCCATGGCCTCACCTCTTTCCTGGCATGGGTCAGCTATCCCAGGAAACCAGGCTTCCTGCCACTGCCAGTGGGTTCTGGAGTGCCATAGCAGGGCAGCAGTCCCCATCCTCCAGGACTTCACTCAGCAGCCAGGTTAATGTATGTTCAAAATAGGTCATTCTAAAGCAACGTGTTTGTTGTTTCCTCCTTTGCTTGCGTTTCAGTAGCCAAATATATTTTCCTCTCAAAGAAGAGCTGGGAATCCAGGAACCTGAAGCCAAGGGAAGCAGTGATTAGTGGTGTGAAGTGTTAATGGTACCACAGTGGGAACAGGGAGTCCCTTGAACTCAGCTATTAGCAAATTAATAAAAGGGGTAGCACACTCTCCTGAGTGTAACAAATTTAGCACTAATTAGGACTTCTCTTTCTTGGCTATTTTAGGCAAGAAAATCTTCACTATCCTTTGTTCAATTTGAATCATCGTGTTTGTAGAAGTAAATCATATGGAAACATTGGTTTCTTCACCCAGCTACAGTCTATTAAACTTTTTCTATTCTCCTTTCTGACATGACTTCACTGCATGTTTTGTATGCAGTTAGCCTTATTTAGCAAACCTTCTCCCAAAAGAGGGTTTTCTTTTGAATGAGACCAACCTACAGGCTCTTCATTTCTCACAGTCTGTCCCAAACATTGCAAAGATCCCCTCTTCACAGGAGTGTCAGAGCTCTAATTTAATTACATTTATTGATTTGATTGATTCGATGATTATCTTTCTTCATAGTGTTTTATGTCTGAAGCCTCCTTTACTTTGCTTCTTAATTTGACTTGCAAAACCTGATTAAGCTTTACTTTTTTGGCAATTCTATGATTTCTTTATGCCCATATATTCCAGATGTTAAAATGGAGTTATTATAACTGGAAAGCCATATGTTTCTGCCAAATATTTACACAGTTTTGTGTCTTTTAACACTTCAGAATTAATCAAGAGAGAAATTGAATCAGGTTTGCAATGAACATGAACCTTTAGTTAGAGTGGAGCCCAAAACATCCTCCTGCTCTTCCTTTCTTCTTGCACTGCCCAAATCTCATCTAAACCTTGCCTGAAGCCCAGAAAACAAAACTCACAGTTGATTGAATATATGTAATTGTGAATTGATGTCTATGCTTTGGCAGATCCATTTCAAACTCTGCCTGGTGGCTGTGCTGGCTAATTTGCCTATAACCAGGAAATTAATTCTTTCTTAACTACAGAGCAAAGCTGTGATGCTGGGCAATACATGTCTGCCTTTCTGGAAAGGATATTACTTCTCTTGAGCGAAATCAATGCATCACTAAATCATTGACATATCCACGAAAGATTTTAGCTTTTGATGTTTAGGAGAACACTGATGGGAAGAGAAAGCCCTAATGTTTGCATAATGAGAGTGGAGCCAAACTGTCTGAGGCAGAAGAAACTCGCTTCAATTCAAGAAAAGCCATATCTTATTTGAGCAATAAAGGGAAAATGTAGATAGAAGGTTACATCTTCTGATGACATTAAGTAAAAGAGCACATTAGAAACAATCAGCAGGGAGTTCATGGCATAAAACAAACATGTACACATGCACACATGTACAGCAGTGTGGAGAACCCAAGTAGATGTCATATGAAAATATGCCATAAAACCTGACAAGTACTGGACACTGTCAAAGTGTCTTTCTATAAAATAATGCAAACTGATGTTAAAGTCTAGACTTTATAATCAATTAGAAAGGGTATTTTGACAGCAGTATTAATAACCTCTGAAACAAATGTAGCATGAAAAGCATGTTTCCATAACCATAGCTCAGTTCAGAAGACTTTGTCTCAAATCTATGAAAAATCAGATCTTTACAAAGGTTATACTAAAGGTATCAGCCATTTCCCTACCTAGAAGAACTGGATGAAGACTTTTTCTTGTTCTCCTATGGAGGGAAACACTTGATACAGTCATTTCTGTTTACTTCTGTTAAATGGCTGGTCAGAGAGGGTATTCTTCACTGTATGAGGCTAAAGAACGTATTAGTTTGACTTTACTCTGCAGCATGAGATAGGATGTGAATGGTGCATGCTGAGATGACACTGTAACATCCAGTCTGCTTTAGGCCCTGAATGCTAACAATGCTTTCTTCCCTCCGTGTGGGCTATAACTGGGAATAAGATGTGTGAGCATGTAAGCTAAGCAGCAAGTAGATAAATTCCAGATGGTGATTTAAAGCTGGTGAATACAAGCCTTATAGTACTGCAAGCAGTCTAGTACCAGAAAGGACCTTTGAGGTCAATTCATTTCCCTTCTGTCATAAGCAGCCCTCTGGAAGAAATTGCATGATAAAGTGATCCAGCTCCATCACAGAATTAATTTTTGCTACCATTTCGCCTACTGTAATGGTGGAGGAGAAGGAATCCTATTGCAGTTCCTTGGAAACGTAGAAATCTTCCTATTCCCAGCCTTAACATACTCTTACGCAGTTTATTCACATCATTTTCTCTGCCAAAATTGTACTTCTGCTTAAATAGAGCTTTTCCCTTCTGTGTGCTTCTACATGATGTATTTATAGGGAGACCTCTCTCAGCATTCATTGCATGAGATAAAACAAGCCATCCTTTTTTAGTCTCCTCTCATATAACAGAATTGCCATGATCTGGATCACCCTTGCAGCCCGTTCCTTTGCCTGCTCCAGTCTGAGCATGGGGACCAGAACTAGCAAGAGCAGCTATATATTGTCTTAGCAGGGATTTTTACAGTGCCATTAATACTCCCTTGTTTCTTACTGCTATATTGTACATTTATACTGTCTGTACATAGACTTGCTCTTGCATATAAGTTATGCAGTTAACCATCAAATATTGGTGCGTCACCTCAGCTGGTACAACTTCTGCTCCTTGGGAGTGTGGTCAGCATCTTGCAGACAAAATCCCTTGGTGCTTTTCATCTGGTGCTTCTTCATCCTTGACAGCTCCTGCGGAGTATTTCAGCATGAAGATGTTTCGGCAGTCTTTACAAAAGCAAGTGAATCATTCAAAATAAGCACAATCCATCTATCTTCCTTAGTGTCACCAATTAATAGCTGCTCAGGATGCTTTGAAATCTATAGCTGCTTAAGGGAAGAAAAATAACCAACCCCTTCCTATAGTGCTGTGCCATCATTATATTTTGTGTACTCTGCCTGTGCTAGGAAGCTTTATTAAATAAATGAGGTGAAGGTGATAAGCAACAGCCTCTGATATGAAGCTTTAAAGAAAGGGAAAAGGCCAGTTATGCTAATCCAGGATAAGAAGGGAACTAAAAACCAATCGGTAGACAAGATTATTTCTTATTTTTGAAAGCCATTTCTCATGCCAGAAGCCAGTGGTGAGAACCTGACTGATTTCTGTGGCTGTGATTCTGCCTTCTGCTGCCCCTGCAGCAAGCTGTGTTGGGGCAACCACAGTTTCCTCCACTTGATGGAGCTGGAACAGCCTTTTACCTCTTGCTTCTGATTTGGAGCATTCTGCAGAGTGTGCAAAGTAAGGGACTATTTTTAAAAGGGGGTAGTGTTGCCTCTGAGGGCAGCTTAGGCCGGGTCTGTGTCCTTATTCCTCAGGTCACAAGCTGTTGAAGCAAGGTCACTGCACCCTTTGGTGGAGCTGACAACGTGGGCTCCCTGTCAGCCAGAGCACCCCAAGTCAGATCCTGACCCACGTTTGCCAGACATAAGGATGCACTCCCAAACCTGCCCACAGCTGCTGACCCCAATGCAGGTTTTCTCTTGTCTCCACCCCTCCCTCCTGTCTCATCTCCCTGTCTAAGGCACTGTGGCCACTGATGGCCCTTGCCATTGGACATACAGCTCTGTCTGTGCCCCTAGCATGCCACCTCTTGAGGGAGATCAGTTCACTTCCAGCTAACCTGCCAAAAGGGAGGTCTGTGCCTAGAGTGTAATGGAACCTGATGGAGGCTAATTAAATAGAAAATCATCCATTTGTGTTGTCTCCTTAGGGATTTGTCATAAAAACCTTATGTTCTCTTACAAGCCTAAACAAGTGTGTTCACCATGCAAAAACCAGCTATAAAGCTGTCTGGAGAGTAGTCAATGTGTCTAAGTTGTCATTTACAGGGGCTGTCTGCAGCTCGAATCCTGCAGGTAGGAATGGCCTCAAACTGTCCTCAAACCACCCTGCACAAATGGGGCATTCCTCCCTCGAAATGGGAAAGAGGACCAAGCCCTCTGCAAGCGATCCTGCCCTGACAGTCATGTGGAGCGGATGCTTCTCCTTCTGGCCATGATGGGAGCCAGAAATCAGAGGCAAAGAGCACTTGTTATTTTAGAGCTGTGCCAGAGATGTTCAGAGGTTTAGAAAGTATAAATCTATTAGTTGTGTTTGCTGGGGGCATGAGGATTGGCTCCCCTCACCTTTGCCAGTGGCCTGGTCTCCTCCTCAACCCCAACTAGGCTGTTTGAGGAAAACTGAATTTCCCGTAGGACAAAGGAGTCATGCTGTATTGCAATGGAATAAAGTTATGGGCTGCGTCCCCTTGGCTGCCCCAAGGGAAAAATCCACATAACTGCTCTCTTCAGCATCTGTCCAGGATGAGCTTTTCCCTCACCCAAACTGTGCAGGCTTCAGTTTCTGCCAAAACTGGGGCTCATGGAGAAGTCATATCAGGGCAGATCTTTCAATGGGCTGCAGGAGATAACTGCTTTCTACGGGACAACCCCCTGGGTAACACCATCTGGTTGTCTCCTTGCAGGCGTCAGAGGTGGAGAGGCAGCTCTCCCTGCAGGTCCACACGCTCCGGGAGGACTTTCGGGAGAAGAACTCCTCCAGCAGTCAGCACATCGTGCGGCTCGAAAGCCTCCAAGCCGAGGTGAGTGACCTGCACTCCGTCTTGTCCCCTGAAAAGGAGTTTTAACTTGTGGAGAGAACCCCTCTGAACTGAGGAAACAAACCCTGCCTGTTGGAGCAAAGAGAAGGATGGTAGCTGTGGGGAAAAGGACTCCCCCAGTGAGAACTTCTGCTGCAACCCAGGCTGGGGTGGCACAGGCCAGCTTCCACTGCTGCTTTGGCCACAAGCATGCCTTCAAAATGGATGGATGGATTAGAAGGATCTTCCAGCAGATAAACCATGGCAGTGCTCCTGCAGAGCTGCTGCCCAGTACAGATGAAACTCCAGGGTACGGTTGGAAAGGAAGGACTGCAAGGGTTTTTCTTTCTTCTGTTTCTCATGCTTGCAGGGAAAGCAGGAATCCTCTCCTGCCTCCAGCCCATGCACATAGGAAAGCAAGGAGCTCCTAGCTGCTTTAGCTCTGGGACATTAGCAGGAATGATATTTCCTTCCTTCCTCTTCTCTTCCCTGACAGGGGTCACTGAGACCCACGTAGGCAGGAACTAGGTGGTCAGAAGATGTCCAACTCTACCACCTGACCACTACTTTCATTTATAAGCTGTCTGGAAGAGCTTTTCCTAAAATTTCTCAATTTCTTCTTTTCTCCCCCTCCCTCCTGCTCCCTGCTGGTCCCTCGCCTTTTCCTCCCCTCCCCTTGGTGTGGAGCAGCAGGTCCTTGAAGTAAGTATGGAGGCTCAAAAGGGGCTGCCCGCGTGTGCATAGCTCTTACCATGCATGCCTGTCACTGTGCATGCCTCACCTTGCCTCGTTACATCTCTTTATTTCTAAATCCCTTTCCCCCTATGCCCTTCCCATGCCCTATGCCTATGGCAGAGCAATGCCTTTTCTGTTATATGGGCATTCACAGGGTGTTCATTACTGGTTTGGATACCAAATATGAACTCTCAGTACAATGTCTGTATTATGCCTCTTATTTTTCTTGAACCCCTTTCTCCAACCCACACAAATCATAATGGTGGTGGGAAGAGACATGTCAGAAACCATTAGTCACTTAAGAGCAGCTTTCCAATACCTACAGCAGCCTTTACCCTGCAGAAACAGCAAGTCCACACATTTTGCCAATATTCCCTCATGCAGCCAAATCTTCCCAGCAAACTGGAAAGCAGCAGAGACAGAAGGTCCCAAAGAGGCCTTCCACTGGGAAGTTGCTGAATTCATCTATGGTCCATGAATTAAAAGGAGGCCACAGGGAATATTTAGAGCTATACTGGACTAGTAACTGGCATGCCCAGCCCCCAGTGGTCCTGTGCATGCTGGAAAAGGCTCCTCTTTCTTGGTTAAACAATAAGTGACCTTGGCTAGTGCTGATTCATCCTGTGCACTGTTCCCAGCTAACTGAATCACAGAGGTTTTGCTTGGCACACTGTCCCTCACCACCTGAAATCACTGCCCTTGACAATTAAAAGAAATGAACCAATTTTAAAGGCAACTGATCACTATGAGGCTAAAAATAAGCATGGCATAGAAAGGAGTCTTCACAAGCAAAAAGACAGAAAAGTCCCTGGTGAGGACTTGGTGAACATGCAGCTATTCAGTAAAGCATACGGGTAGTGCTGTGGCACAGCCCTGTGGGGCTCCCATAGAGGAGAAAATGCCACCATGCTCAGTCAGGGACCAGCCAGCAAAAGTAACTAGTTTTGCCCAGTCTTAAAAAGTTTTAAGGTACAAGGGGTGGGCAGGGCTGGTCTCCACCTAATCTGTTTGGTCATTTCTGCCTGTCATTTCACACACACAGATACAGTTTCTTTCATACAGCTACAGAATACGTATGTGCATACTTACGCTTTTTGCCGTTTCATTTCTGTCTTGGGAAGTTGATTTCACGCCTCTCTGCAAAGTGCAGGGTCTGACACCACCTCTTTCCTTCACAGATCAAGATGCTGACGGACAGGAAGCGGGAGCTGGAGCATCGCCTTAGTGCCATGATGGAGGAGAATGACCTGCTCCAGGGAACCGTGGAGGAGCTGCAGGACCGAGTCCTCATCCTGGAGAGACAAAGCCATGACAAGGACCTGCAGGTGAGGAGGCAGCCATGGCACAGGGAAGAGGGGGGGAACTGGAGTAAAAGATACGGTTTGGGGGAAAACTCACCAGAAAGATAATCAGGAACTGGGAACAGACAAAACAGCCAGAAGAATAAAATGGCTCATGTAAGCATGGCAGCAAGCAAGGCCCTGGGTGTTAGTTAGGGTCTGTTCCACAGGAACAGATAACAGGAGCCACAATGGAGCATCTTGACAGCAGAGCAGCTTAGGAGGGAGATCTGAGCGAACGAGTCGGTCAGTGTGCGGGGGAAATGAGGGCAGTGACTGCCCTTGTAGCTCTCACTGCTCAGATGGTTTCCCAACAAGCCCCATGGTGCTCACAGCTGTGTCACTAAACATTGCTCCCTGGAGAACAAGCTGGCACCTCTGTGGCTTCAGACATCTTAGGAGAGAGCAAGAGTTTTCCATTTCTTTTCTGTAGGTTGATAACCACTGGATCCCAGCTCTTCAAACAGCCCTGAATTGTTTTGTCCCTCTCTCATATATATATTTGTATTTATATACACATATAGATTTTTTAAACCACATCTGTATTACTTTTCTTTTTGGATTCACTTCCTGCTGTGTTATTTTCAGCATTTTTTTTTTACCTGAGTCCCAACTTCTTCACAACGCTCCTCATTTTAGTTCTGATTAACCTGATATTTTTATCTTTCAGGATATTCTGGAGCTTAAACTGTGTCTAATGACATTTGGAGATTATTAAGCTCCAATAAAGAGCAGTATCAGCCAAGAGTATGTTCCTCCTGGCTGGAAATCCTCTTTTTGTGACACTCATTCCTCCTTCAGCTCTTTCACAAACCAAGGGATTCATCCAGTCTATATCACCTCCACCAATACCTTACTTCCTTGACGAATTCCTTGATTTTCTTTGCAAGCTGCACCAAAGCCAGCTGGAGCTCCAGGAGGTGCGTCTGTCCTACCGGCAGCTGCAGGGCAAGGTAGAAGAGCTCAGTGAGGAGAGAAGTCTCCAAAACTTCAACACAACCAGCACATCCCTGCTGTCTGAGATAGAGCAGAGCATGGAGGCAGAGGAGCTGGAACAAGAACGAGAACAGGTATTTGCCCTCGTACCCCTGGGAAAGCCTGCGGTCCTGTGTGACCAACTCCAGAGGGAAAGGGAGTTTAATGCATTTGATCTGGACTTGGAGCTGAACCAAGAACCAGACAATTGGGGTTATGGTCTCAGCTCTGGTATCATCACTTTTTTCACCATTTGAAAGTAAACCTCTGCCTCCATTTGGAAACCAGCATAGCAAGCTAGACAAGTATTTGTGAGGTTTGGCAATCCTCACTTCACTGTGGAAGGAGGATCTCCATGGTCTTGATGTCCCAGGCTAATGTCAGGCTCTCTTGTTCCAGCTGAGGCTGCAGCTCTGGGAAGCATATTGCCAAGTGCGGTATCTTTGCTCCCATCTCAGAGGAAACGACAGTGCAGACTCAGCAGTCTCTACAGACTCCTCCATGGATGAGTCTTCAGAAACATCATCAGCCAAAGATGTTCCAGCCGGCAGCCTACGGGCAGCGCTCAGCGAGCTGAAAAGACTGATACAAAATGTGCTGGATGGGGCAGACTCCACGGTAAGTTGGGGGCACAGAGAGACCTTGGCTTGTGCATGTCCCCTTGCCCAGGTGACAGAGCTTGCTGCAGGTTGCCCCTGGGAAGGCACATGGGAGCAAAACTGAAACTCTACCAAAGTCACATTCAAGTTTTCTTCTTCCTTGTTTAGTCTCCCTCATCCCAAACCTCTACAGAAATAATGCACTTGCCTTTTTTAAAGTGAAACCTGAGCAAGAGATTTCTCTCCCGCTCTCAGAGCTCTCGACGAAGCGACGATGATGCCTTAGAGGAACAGATCAGGAGAACAAGCGAGGACTCGCGAGCCCTGAGGGAATTAATGGAGGGAGAACGGGGGAAACTGAGGCAGAGTTTGGAGGAACTGCAGCGACTGCACAGCCAGGTTAGCAATTCGCACACTTTACATGTAACCCTGTAACACTAGGGTTCAGCCTCCAAGACATACCTTCCATAGAAGAGATCAACATGATAGATAACCCAGGAAGATTTAGGACAAAGAGGGAGACTGCTAAACCTGGTGCCAAAACTTTGTGTGCTGCTCTGCTGTGTATGGAGCAGGTTTGCCTCCTCCACAGCAGCATCACAAACCCTCATAAATACACACCAGAGAATCTTGATCTGGCACCAGGTAGCACCCCAGGGCCAACAGGAACCACCTAAGGCTAACAATAGCAATAAAAGATCCAGCCCCAAAACCAACACCACACTTGAAGCACAGAATCACACTGCATCTGCACTGAATGCAGCACCGCCTGTGTCTGAGGTCCTATGCCAAAAGCAGCAAATGGAGACAGGCACCCAAGGAGAAGCTCTGCAATCCCTGTCTCAGGGACACGTCTCCAAACACTGGAGGGGATCCCAAGGCCACAGTAGCAGCAGCCTCAAGCACAGCTGCTTCTGCGGCACTAACTGCATCGGAGGAGGGAATGGGGTTAACACCCTTGCCTGATCTTGCCAGTGGAGCTGCACTGCACTTTTGCCATGCTTCTTTGGGGAAGAAAAAAGGAAACACATCCCTGTTGAGGAAGTCAGCACAACCTGGGTCTGACAGCCTTGTGTAGGGCTAAGGGAGCTCCCACCATGGGACCAAAGCAAAAAGAGAGCATCATTAACTACCCCTGCAGTGATGGCTGCATGTGTATGAGGATGGAAATGGTCTTGGTGACAAAGCAGCTGATTAGAGGCAGACTGCAGCAAGGGAGCAGCCCTGCCACCTGCCCTTCCATCCACCACAAGAGACACCTTTGAGAGTCCAAACTTCTGTCCTCAGTGAGCCATGAGCCCAGGCATTCTTCTAGTGGTGCTGCCATAGTCCTTAAACACATCTGAGATGGAGGAGGAATCACTTCAATGTAGCTATGCTAACAGAGACTGTTAGGGGGTTATTCACAGATCTTGAGTGATCATCTGTACACCAGCCTGCTTGTCTGGATATAGCACCTCCTTACACATGGGGCTTCTATAGGTCACCAGGAGGGAGCAGCACTTGGTTGTTCTTTGCTGTGTCTGATCTTCCCAAACTCCCCATCCAGGAAGGACCAAAGGATCTGCTCTGGATCACAAGTCTGGACCCCCATTTCTGGTTTTAGGGGTCGCTGACTACCAGAGCTTTGAATATCTAGGGAGCAAAGGGAAGACGGCAGCTCTGCTTTCTTTTCACACCTCTGTGTTATATGGAGAAAGATGAGACATTACTACAAATGCAGCAGACTTTGCTCTCAGAGAAGCACTCCAGCTTCATGCAACAAGTACATCTCCTGCAGCTTTTGCCCATAGCCCAGCCTTACCATAAAGGCAATGTTGTCTTCAGTTCAGTACTAAAGAACATCAATGCACATGGAAGTCTGGTCCATGGGAGGCAGCAGTTCTTTGCTGCCTCCACACCCCTCTGCACTGTCACTGGTGTTGATACAACAAAAGGGGAACTCCTAAATGGCTTTTGGAACCTTGTAGCACCACACACATTCATTGCTCCTGCCTGAGAGCAAGGTGGAGACAGGAATTACCTCTGTGTGTGTCATCCCATTCTTACCCAAAACAGACAAAACCAGTTAAGACCCCAAACCTAGCGCCAAACACAATGGCTGGGCCTCTTGATCCACTGCCCCCTGTGCTCAGTAGAAATCCTCAGCAAATAGTTCCCACCACTACTATCACATCACTGCTCTGAGGTGCACCCTGTGCTGGGCTGCAGGAGGGCACGGCTCGAGCAGTGCAAGGGATTGCAGCCCCAGCTCACAGCGGGCAGCCTCTGCACACAGACAGGGTGCTTCTACACCCCTCTAACCAGCCATGCAGTGCCAACAGCAGATCCTCCCATGCCGCTGATGTGACGAGCCCTTTCTGACTGACTGCCCTCTATTTAAAGATTTCTTTGAGGATCCAAGCACTACTGAGCTGCATTTAGAGAAAGGAGGTGGGTCAAATGCTGGAAGGGTTTCCAGGTGGTGGAGTAGTGTAACAGAGCATGTGTGCCCTAGACAAAGAAATTAAATGTGTATGAAATATTGCGAAGCTGTGCTAATGCAAACCTTGCATGATTTCACACCCTATTAACTCACTCTGCACAGGACCAAAGCGATAGATCATTTCACAGACTATTTAACACTCTGCACATATTTTAAAGTCTAATTAAAATTGTAAGATGTGCCAGTAACACCTTCCATGGCGTGAAAGGGAATTTTCACATCCTTTGTCTTCAGCTTCATACTACTTCAAGAGACACAAGGGCCCCCTCCAAAAATATCTTATTTGCTGCTAAATGATGTTTGCAATACTTTAACTCTGGAAAGATCAGAGTACAACAGGCAGACTCGGAGAATGCATGGACAAGACAAACTGCTTGGCTAGGGACAATATTTCAGCTCTGATGCCACAGAGAAAGCCAAGTTGCAGGTGGGTCCTGCCCTGCATAGCTGCACAGCTTTCAGTGCTGTTGCTGCATGTTACTGAGGCCGTCCTGGTGACCCATCTTGCTCAGACCAGCACTGCCAGCATCCCCTAGCGAGCTGGCACATTGCACAGGGGGTTGCACCAGCACTAACAGCCCTGTCCCAATAGACACAGCTTCTACAAGCAGGGGAGCTCAGCCTCCAGATGAGTCCATGTGGCCCTTTCCCCTCCCACTCTTGGTGAATTTGAGCAATGCTGCATTTGATGCCCTCCCTCTACCCACAGGTCACGCTACTGAGTGTAGAAATGACGACACTGAAGGAGGAACGGGACCGGCTGCGAGGTGCTGCTGAAGACAAGGAGACAAGTGAAAGGCTCCTGCAGGCCATCAGGGACCGGGATGAGGCCATTGCCAAGTAAGTGGTACCAACAGCCAAAGCCAGGCTGGGTTAGCAGTTATGGGGTGCCTTAGCAGATTCCTCCAGGTGGGTTTCTCACCCTCCATGAATTTCAGTAACTGTTACAAAGGGATGGAGTGAGCGCTGGCTTTACTGGCATTAGGAAATGCTGCCAGGAGCTTGGGAGCAGGGCAGGAGATGCCAATTCCCAAAGCTGCCCCTTTAGGAGGCAGCTGTGAACCACGTTTTAGCCATCCCTAGTACTGGTCTAGTCACAGCAAGGAGACAACTTTGGAGAACCAAATGGAAGCACCAGGTCTACCCTATTTGTCATATTTTTTTCTTTTGCTCTTCCAGACATACCACCCTGCTTTCCTGCTCATCCCCCTTACAGCCCTGCTTGGGCTTCTTCCCTAAACCACTTCTCCAGTCACTTGCTTTCCTTCCCTGTTCCAGGGCCTGTTTTTCAGCTCCAGTCCTGTGATTCCCTTTTTGTCCTTTTGGGATTCTCCCACTTTATTTCCCCATCCTCCTTGTAGACCTGTGCAGTTTTGCTACCCCATATCCCAGCTCTGTGCTGGGGCTTGCCACGCTGCCCTAAGCACTCTTTGCCCTGAGGAGAGGGGCAGAAACATTCATCCCTTTGTGCTCTACACAGAAAGCATACATGTGATAATCTCTTCAATAAGCAGATGGGCCAGGACACCACCAGTCCCATCTCCTTATGGAAATGCCAAATAAGCCCTTATGAAGAATAGGAACACAAAAAGCATTGCACCCCCCAGGATGTGGGGAGCTAAATCAGCATGCACAGTCCCTTCGTCTTTTAAGTGACCCAATCATCCGTGCTGCTCTCAACTGTGTAGCTGGCTGTGAAATTCCCATTGCTATCCTCTGTAACACCTCCATCTGTTGGCAAAAATAAGGAGCATCCCAGCTGCGCTGCCGGGTGCAGAGAGGTGGTTCTGACATTTCCAGTGCGTGTGGGTTGCTGGTGCTGCTGTGGCTATGGCAACGCGCTGCCGCCGCAATAAAACCCTCCGTAATACCCGACTAGGGATAGGGAGCTTCACAACAAAAGGCTATTTAAGGTGCTCAAACCCACAGCCAGAGTGAAAGGGTCCAGCTTCTCCATGGGGTTAATGACCCTGCTGGGACAAAGCACTGATATTTACAGCTGACTGTCCTGAGTGGCGGGCGTCCAGAGAAAGGGGGACGTGACAAGTGTGCATGGGTGAGTGGCGGGTGATTAACGAGCAGAAAGTGGAAGCAAACAAGAGCTTCTCATTCCTACAAATCAAAGCATCCTGCCACAGACTGAGCAGGCTCGTGATAAGCTTCCCACCTCACACCCCAAGGGTTAAGTCACTTTTGTTGAAGCCCTCCTCCCCTCCAAAACAGAAGCCCTAACTCTAAACAGAAATCGAGTCGCTGTCTGAGGCAGACATCTGGCATGGAAAATTTTTAGCTTGAAACTGAAATTGGGCAACACAGGAAGCAACAGGAAAATAGGATCACATAATAGGAGGTGTTCAGCAACCACTACCTGGAAAATACCCACAAATTTCCAAACTGGTCTTCTGCAGGGGGCACAGGGGAGCTATTAGGAGGTGATGAATTAGCTGCAGTTATCAAGATGCTATTACTTCTCCTGAAAATGTCTGCAAGGAAAGATGGTTCCCAGAATGTCATGTTATGGTTTCCCATCACACAGCAGTGAACTGAAGATTTAAGGTTTATGCTCACCTGTGTGCTCCCAGCATGGTCAGCAGCATTTCCTAGCTTTGGAAATTGCTTCTTCCTAGAGGACAATTCCTTTCCACTAGCCAGTAGCAGCTGGAACATCTCAGTCACTGGGCACTCAGGACCTTTTGGGCAACCTGGGTAATGGCATCACATGCCCAGTGGCCACCAAATGCCTGGAAAGAAACACAGCAGCAGTGTTCCCAAGGGCCAGCACAACCCCATTAAAACTGGGAGGTTTCCTTAAAGCGTAACATTTAATTCAAACAGTTCTAACAGTCTGACATTCTTACAAAGCCTGTGTATGATCTACTTGCTTCCTTCATTTCTTCCTTCCTTCAGTCCCAGTCCCAACTGAAAGCAGAGTTGTTCTCCTTGAGGGGTTTTGTTTGTTTCATATTGTGACTTATTGATCGAGTGATCAGACAACAGCTCCTTTGGTTTTTAGCATGTGCCATTTCTTTTTCATGCACAAGTAAATAGAAGAAAAGGAAATAAATATTTATATGTAATTATTCTACCTCATTTTAGAACTCTATTTTTAATGGCAGATCCAGGCACATTATCTTTCCTTATGCAGCAGTGTATCTGAATATCTCTTTATATTCTTCATAGTGTGCTTACCAGAAACCTCCTGGCTTTGTAGTAACAATGGTTCTATGGTTCCATCCCACTCTTCAGATTAATAGGCTGTCCAGAATACAATGGACATCAACAGCTTAGCACCTGGGGACTTGCCACTGAAAGAAACTGTTGACTGCTCCTCAAGGATATGTTTAACACTTCCTTTTAAATAAAAAGAGAAACACACTCAGTTTCTCACTGTCTCCCCAGGAAGAACGCGGTGGAGGTGGAGCTGGCCAAGTGCAAGATCGACATGATGTCCCTCAACAGCCAGCTGCTGGATGCCATCCAACAGAAGGTGAACCTCTCGCAGCAGCTGGAGGCCTGGCAGGTGAGTAGGGCAGGGTATGGGTGGCACATGGCCTATGATGCACCTTTGGATGTCTTTCCCCCCTCCTCCCTGTGGGTTTGCTGTGTTCTCAGCCTGGGAATCCATGCATAGGAAGTTTTGCTCTGGGCTCTGCAGGAACCAGTGATGCAGTGGTGCTCAGGGTGTGAAACACAGCCCTGCCTTGCTCAAAGCCTTTCAGCTGTAAGCAGATAATTAATTATACAGAGACAGCCATTTAAAATGAAGAAACAAACTGTATCTCATGGCTGCCTGCAGCATGGGTAACATAAACCTTGCAGAGTAACACACTGTGGCCCAGGAAGGGAAGGTGTCCATGCAGGCCATGTCTGTGGGCAGGCACAGCAGTTACGCAGTTCCATAGTGGAGCAGAAAGGTGGGAGGCAGAGGTGTGGTGATTGTTTTGTGGTACATCTGCACTGTTTACAACAGCTCAGAAGATCCTGCAAAATGAAGCAAAAATCCCAGCTCTCCACCAAGGTAAAAAACCCAAACCCACAGCAGTTCAGCGGCTGCCATGGAGCTGCTCTACTTGGGGTCAGCAGGGAAAACCTGTGTAAAGGCAGAGTGCCCTTGAGATCAGACAAAGCTGACTCCTCCTGGAAACTAGCACCAAGGGGGGGCTACTTCAATAGAAAACAAGCAGATACAAGAGAAAAGGTCTGGGCCAGTGATAATAATTTGTTGCAGACCATTCAAGACCCCAATTCTACTAACAGCCTGACCAGCAGAAACCTCTTCCGTACAACCTTGCCTCTGGTTCAACTCCACTGTGTTTTCGTTTCTCTTCTTTTTTTTTATTTTCTTTTTATTTTCTTTTTTTTCCTTCTTTTCTTTTCTTTCTCCTGCTTACAGTTTGCTTCCTCAGGGCTTTTTACTATCTGGCTCCTTTGGTTTCTGATCTAGTGGCCTTTCTCAGTTCCTGTACCAACAGCTTTAGTCGTACACCCCTCCTGCCTTTGAGGTGAGCTCCTCACACCCTCACCAAGAACCTGCCATCTCCTCACCTGCTCCACTCGCTGCCACCATCACCCACATCCATCTCTGTCCTCACCATCATCTGGCAAGAGCGACCAGTGGGGTGTCTCCATCACCCATTGATATTCTACACACACACCCCAGCACCACCCAGGGCACAAGGGGCACCATCCTGTGGTGAGGCTTTACTCCCCAGGTCACCATGGGGAAAGCCAGGCTGAGGCATATATATCATTAATCCTCTGTATTCAGCATATCTAGTATCTGGAAAACTTCTTGAAATACAGACTGGGATTTTACTTCTCAGCTTTGTTATCTAGTAGGTGACACCCCGTGCTCTGCATAGGAGCTGTCTGTTTTCAAGTTCTCTTTCAGTTTGGAATGGTGACCTACTTACTAGTACACTCAGTATTTAACTGCTGGACTGTTCCCAGTTTTGGGTTTCAACAGCAGGCCTTTGCTTTCTCCCTTCACACTATGTCATCTGATTGTAGCAATACAGCAACCCCAACCACGCTCCCATCAGCTTTGAGATGAGGATCAGGCCCACTAGCACTGCAAAAATTTATCTCCTAACATATTGACCCGAAGTGTTATTAGGTAGTAGCAAAACAGTCTCCAAGCACCTAATGTCCCCAGGCATTAGAAGCTCAACCAGAGAGGCACAAAACAAGTCAGGTAATTTAGGTACTTTGGGGACTATTTTGCAAAGCCGAATGCTTCTGATAAAATGGGAAGAGATTCTCTGCTTTAGCTGGGCATAAAGGCAGGCTTTAATCTGATAAAAATTTCTCTTGTATGCTTCTAGTCTGCACTTTACCAAGGACCATCAACAAGATTACAGTTTTCTGTAAGCACATAATCATACTGGCTATAAAATACACTAGAAGCAAAACCCTGAGCCTCGCACAGGAGCGGTAGCACCTCACCCCATGCCTAATCTGACCCCCATTGGTGTTCATCATTATCTGGGGGCAGGAGGGAAATTACTAGAAATAGGGAAGGAATATGGAACAAATTTCAAGTGAAGAGGGCCGTTTCTCTCGAATGAGAGCTTAGTGGCTTCAATGCAATAGTGACAGGGGTGGTGTTAGGCTGAAAATGCTGCAGTGCCAGCAGAGAGCTGCAGCCTACATGGCCACAGCCACCAGCCTCTGAGGCTGCCTTGGGCAGCTCAAACCTGCATCTCATGCAAGGGAGCCCAGCTTACAAAGAGCATCTATGCCGCTTGCACCTCCTTCATCCTCAGCCCTTCTTGCAAAGAGCACAAACTCCTGCTGGAACACCCAGAGCACATCAGCACCATGTAGCCAGCCTTATGGACTTACTTTATGAGACAGGTCTCATACCACTGGTGTTTGTCCTCCCTCTAGTGCCCAGACAACCTATGCCTCTGCCCAGTGCCAAGGCAGGGCCACAGCTCTGCCCTAGTCTTTCTGTGTACATCTACCCTGAATCTCCACAGCCAAGTGTGTGCTCCTATTCACACACCAGACAGACAGGTACCCAAATACAGTGCATTCTCAATAGTGGATAGTGTTTGTATATATATATATATATATATATGTATATATCTGTGTAATTTTATATATATATATATAAATCTTGCTTATCCCTTGTTATGTTGTTAACCAAGGACATAGATCTGCCATGCTGGAGCCTGGGTACCTACTTTAGTTGCTAAAAGAGGTGCCTTCAAAATCTAAGTGCTATACATTTTCACAGGGCAGCTTCACCTCTGGAAACCTGTTTCACCGTAACACTGATGTTTACCTTAACCTCTTAAACTCAACCTTAAACTCTCCCTCTGCCTTTCCTCTGCTCTATAAAGATCCAAAGCTTCCCCAGTTCACATAGCTCTGCACCCTCCTGCTTCCCCAGAAAAAATCCCTATACTATATTCAGGTCCAGGCAATGGCTATCAATCCTTTTGCCTGCAGAAAATGCTGCAACAGGAGATTGGCAACAAGCCATTATTCAAGTTTCCAGTCCAAGTTGGCTGTTTGTATTCCACATCGAGATACAGAGCAGCTAGGGCACCCACTGGGTGATGGCAGCACCTTCCTTTCCGTGTGATGGGCTGCCCTGCACAAGGTGCCAAGTGAACAGCACCTCCATCACTACAGCCCATTCAGAGCAACCTTGTTCTCACCAGATAGTGCCCTCAGTCCTAATCAGGAACCAAACTGCTGGAGAACAGTTGATTTCTCCTGTGGGGCTAGTTTGTGTACACATGTTTTCACTAAGCTACAATTTTAATATGCAATTACAGCAGAAACAATGGATCTGAAGGTTTGAAATTCGCAGAATTGCTAGCCATGTTTTCAAGGAACATATTAGCATGTCATTAACAGCAACAGAACCAAGTATTTCGTGTAGAGCACAAACATGGATGAAACCAGAGTGCTTCTGGTACATCTGAAAAACCAGTGCAAGTTGCTCATGCCAAGCTGCCAGTCAGAGAGCTCTCACTGCTCTGCTGGCTCCAGGGGAAGGGACAAGCACAGCTCTCTTTTGTAAGCTTGGTGCAAAAACCCACATGGGCTCTGTTGGGCCCATGCCTGACGTGGGCCCCTCAGCTCCCAGGAACACCTTTCCCCTGCTACCAGTGGCTGTGCAGGCAGCTCTTGTCACACCTACCTAACTGCCTGCTCCACATGGCAAGCACATGGTCCTGCTCAGGACAGACATCCTCACTATTCTGGCATTTCCTTTCAGCTGCATTTGTTCTATTTATTTCTTACCCCAAAGGGGACATTTGCAAGCTGCAGACAGCAGAGAAGTATAGTTCAGAGGTGTCAGAGAACACCAAAGCAGGCAAGATGCTCCTCTGCAGGACCACCCAAGCGATTTATCCCTCAGAATTGTGTGATTTACCTTCCTTGCTCACTAAAGAGCCTCACAGCTCAAGCAAGACTGAGTGTGCAGCCAGGTGGGGAGCTAGACCTCTCCCCACTTCTTGCCATCCCTCCTCCATCTCATCACAGCACATTTCACACCCATTTCAGCCGTGTCGCTGCGCGAGCTCCCTTTGAGCATCAGCTGCCACTAACAACCCTCTCCTCTCCCTCTGCTGCAGGATGACATGCACAGGGTCATTGACCAGCAGCTGATGGACAAACACCCGAAGGAATGGAGCCAGCTTGCTTATTCCTTCTCCAGTGGCTCCGGCACAAAGCGGAGTGCCAAGCCCTCCCCCATGTTCAGGCCAGAGCAGCAGGGGGACGAGCCCACTGCGGCAGAAGGGAACCGTCTCTTTTCCTTTTTCAAGAAAAATTAAGTTGAAAAAGAGAAACCTCTCCAACGATTCCTGCTTCCAGACGGGGAGTGGGGCAGCTGCCCAGCTTGCTGCTGGACCCAACTCTGATCCACCAAGGAAAAAAGAAGGGGGCAAAGGAGTTATCCCTTGAGACTCTGCACTATTTACACCGCACCTGGTCTGAACCAAATGTTTACATGAATTGGAGATTAGCAAATTGACAATGTGATACTAACAGAGAGACACTTTTCTTTAAGTGAAGTGATAAACTTCAGGGTATATTGTAGGCGCTTTGACACGGTCCAGTTTCTGCTGTGAAGAATAATCTGATTGTCTTAAAAGCATTCTCATGCTGGAGAAGGAAATAAGCAGCCCCAAGACAAAGCAGCACAGGGGACTGAGAACTGCTGTGGCAGCGAGCACAGGGGGAAGAAGAGGGCTGAATGCAAGAGGAGAGGGGAGTCACTTGTACCACCTTCTGGTCCTGGCAGCTGTGATCTCCTTCATCCATTCCACCAAGACTGGAGTTGCTCTGGCCCCAGCATTCCCATGTTTTGACAAGTGTAGCTTTCTCCATGGTGGAAGTTGAGTCCTCATTGAATACCCTGCCACCTCCCCTGCAGCTCTGCGTAGCTGTTCCCCACCTCACTGAGAATTCAGGCTCCTCACAGATCAGGGCAGTTGTAAGATTGCTGATGTTACTGTCTTTTCTAGCTCCTTCCTCTTACAGAGATGAGAGTTGCAGTCTGTAGCTACACAGAATGTTAAGGATTTCTTCCCAGACTGACCATCTACAGTGAATTACAGACTGGATAAAAGTTGTGGATGCTCAGTCGTGGGGCACCTACTCTCCCTCCAATGGCCAAAGTTAGCTGTGGAGCTTCAGCAAGTCACACACCTTTCCCCAAAGCCATGTACACCTCCCAGTCAGAGTAGGAAACCTGTTATTTTAATTGGATAGGCCCCAAAAAAGCCTAATTCACTGAAAGCCTACCCACGATATCAGTAGGTCTTTGTCGCTGGGCCGGCAGTCTTGATCCTCAAGATGGCATGCAGGCATCTCTAACTGAAGCCAAAGGCCATGAGGGCACCTACAAAGCTCTAGAAAGCCTACAGCTTCCTCTGCTCCATGCACTAACATTAGCTATGGCCTGGCAAAAATGATGGGTATCTGTCCCTGCCTGTGGGTCATTTACTACTCAGTTCTTCGGTGAGCAGGTAGCCAAGTCTCCTGTCGAAGGTGATCAGAGCCTGCTTTGCTGTCAGCATAACTTGATCAATGAGAAGGAACGTAGCTTATTTGGTGTATGCATACAATGGTGCTGGAAATCCTGCAATACTTTAGTAGAAACCTTCCCTATGCACTGGATGGGCACCCTACAGCTCTGCTCTGTAACATAGTCTACCATCATAAACCAGCAAGGACTGCCGGCCTAAACTCAGAGGCATCCTGCTGCTGTCAACCAGTTCTCACACACTCTCCCAGCTCACTATACCCACAGGCCCCAGTTTGTTTCCCTATTGCTTTAAAGAGGCTGCCACCTACACTGTCCCATAGGAGATGGAGCTCAGTACACATTCAGCTCTGCCCTGCTCAGCAACTTAGGTGCTGAAACACCATCCTACAGGGAGCTGCTATCCCTGCTCACCGCTTACAGCAACAAGCTTTCTGATAGAATTAGGTATCAAACACCTTCTTCTAAGAAGCAGGTAAGAGGTAGGTGGCTTGGGGTTTTTTTTTCTTATTACTTTTATTCAACTTTTCTATGGGATAGAACATCCATTATACCTCAGTACAAATATCCTTTCTGCCTACAAAGATTTGAGCATTCCCATATTTCCTTCTTAGCATGAAACTACCACATTGGTATGAAGTCATCGTGCACTAAGGTAGCTCCATGTTGCAAGGAGCCGAGTACTTTTTGGGACTGAAAATGATGGTGAAAAGCCGAGTGGTAAAACCCCTTTACTTGAAAGCAATGAAACCTGGATTGCAGATTCTGCTCCAGGAAAGACTTAGGAAAGCACCACCAATACAGCTTGTTCCTCGATACAGGAAAAGGAATCTGGAGTCTCACAAGCAGGGAAGGAAAAGGAATCTTAGCTTCTCCTTGAGCAATGCTCAACTGTTGAGTATCTGTTCGTGTCTCCTTGTGCAAGTGATGGAAAGGGGTGTAGCGCAGTGCCAAGCGTGCTCACAGGATGGCAAGTCCTCATCCTCCCATCTTACCTACGTTGTGAGGCTCAGTAAGGCAGAGACACGAGGCACACACTCAGCATCTGCTGCTGTCAGGACTCAAGCTATGCCCATGTGCATTAACATAAATGCTTTGATACCTGCAAAGTCAGGTGTGGGTTCCTGGATGCCAGAGATGCCTGTGAACAGTTGTCTTATACACTGCTTGATGCCCTGCTTATTGTGGGAGACCACCTTCTTTCTGCTGTCAGTTGCCATTTCCCAGGCCCCAGCAGCTCTCTTCAGGCCACATGCCCAGCAGCCATGTGGGACTCTACCCCCATGAGGATGTACTACGTATGTATGCAATCCTAAGGCAAAGGCCTTATGTTATCCCATGAAGATGCAGTAATGAGATGAAGAAAGGTGCCTTCTGCTACAAGTTTGCTGAAAGTGACTCATTCAGTTGCAGGGGTAGGCAATTGAAATGCACAGCATATCTCTTCATTTAAGGAGGAACCTACCTTAATCCCATTGCAGTTTTATTCATTTAATAACAGTGATGGAAGAGATTGCAAGAGGAAAGTCAGCGTGTTCTAAGGTGCCAGTTGGGTATGGTTTCTTAAAAACAGCCCCTTAACTTAGTTACTTAGACTTAGTTGCACTACTAAACCCAGAAATACAAGAGAATCGGGTTTAATGAACTGGACAACACACCAAAGGAGACCTCCTTGTGCTGAGCTGCTACTCAACAGAACAGAAACTGCCTTAACATAGCAGCTAGGTTTTGTTGTTCTGTCTTCAAAACCTTCATTAGTGCAGTCCTTCACGTTCTCATTTGTCATGTTGTGTTTTAACAAGGTATTGACTATTTCACTTTGAGCTGTCATTGAAACACTCATCTACATCCTGTCACAGCCAGGAGTATGGGATCATCCTTGCAAGCGCTGGGTTAGAAGACATGCCATGAGTGATACTTGATATTTCCAGGACACATGTGGCATAAAGGAAACGTAAGCCCCACTGAATGAGATGGAGGAAGCGCATCAATCCAGCAGGTACTCAGGATCCCAAAGAAGTGGGATCAGCAGGATACAACACTCAGCCTTGCTTTTCAGATAATTCTTAATAAAACAGTAGTGCTGCACGGTCACTGTTCAAATACTGCACAGAGAAGAGATGCTGCTGAGATTAAGGTTAGAAAGAACTTTCCCACAGTGAAGTAAGACGTTGACTGCTTGGGCAAATGTTTATGACAATGGCCCAAGGGAAAAGGGATCCATTTTCCTTTAGTAAACCCTGCAAGGGAAGCAACTGTACAGAAGAAACAAGTAAGTGTAAATGAAAGGCAAGTCACTAGCACTTTACCTTAATACAAACTTAGATCAGCAACTTGCCCTTGAGATGAAAACAGATCAACTAATGGCAACATAATAATCTTGCACAGAGAAGCAACAAGGGAGGTTACAGGCAGTGCTGCATGCACAAGGACTTGATAGCTGTAAACACTTGTCCTACTTAGAATGGTGAATTCCAGCTATGCCTTTACACCAGGCAAACTCTCTACTCCCCACTCAACTATAAAAAGCAAGATTGTTTTAACCAAAAAGCCAAGAAAGGAAGTGTCTGGGTGCTGCAGCAATGATTCCCTTCGAATGAGGGAAAAAGCACACAGCAGGGACAAGCAGAAAGAATGTATCTATAGATATGTACATAAATCACAGTGCTGTAATTTTTGTATGTAGCAGTAATGTAAATACATGTATGGTTTTTATAAGATACATATTATAAAAATCTATAAAGGCATATTTTTAGTAAAAACAATGCTCTACTTCTTTTGTAAATAGTTCTCTTCAGAATAAAACTGATCATTTATACGATACCGTCTCAGCTCTCGAGTCACTGCTTATCCTCCCTAGCTGCAGAACAAGCTCACTTTCTGAACTGTCATCTTAACACCCAAAAGCATCTTCAGTTCAGCAGCAGCCCAGGAAATTCAGCCACGAGAAGCACTTGCTTGTGTTTAGAAGAGAACAGTTCTGGAGAAAAAAAGCATTTGAAACATTTACATCTCCTGCCACACAGCAAAATAGAAAAGTGAGCTTGTAAATCTTCACATTCCAGCCATTTGTACCATTTACTGGCCTTATACAAAGGGATATTCAGACTTCTAATGGGTTTAGCCATGAAACAGAGATGGACAATGAAACACCTCAGCTTGCACCAGCTGCAGTTCAGACCATCTACACCTCCTCCTCAGGATCCCCCTCGACAGAGTCATATCAGAACAGCACGAACAGAAGAAAAGGCACCTTCCACAGCACATCTCCATCACGCTTCTCCAGGAGGAAGGACTTGCCTTCAAGAGCCTGCTTGCACATCGAGGGGTGGGCAGGGGTAAGCAAGTGCTAAAAGGGCAATGAGCACAGCAACAGCTCCAGGGTTCCTACGCAGAAACACGTTAATTCCCTGGGAAACAAGGACAGACTCCACCAAATAAACCTGGGGTCAGACCCCTGCTGCCTTGCAGAAGCTTTCAAAGTTCACTCAACACATCTTGAACAGAAAGACAAAAAATTATAGCAAAATCATGAGCATCTCACGCAAAAATAAGGTTACCAGTTCCAGCTTACCGTTTCATTCACATCTCAAACCAGAACAGCAACTAAACGTCTGAAAGCATGAATTGTGGATCTGCCAAAGCCACCCTCCCAGGTAAAAAACCCTCTACACACAAGCCAAAGAGGTCACCCCTGGCTTACCACCCTGCACCTCCAGATGCTGGACAGCAGAGGAAACAGAGCCTCAAAAAAGATTTGGCAGCTTGTAACCTTTATTTTTAGTTTTTTAAAATTATTTAAAAAGCATAATTAGAAACTTTCATTACAGAAATAATCCTAGCAAACCAGTTAGACATTCCACTGCTCAACAGTTAGGAAACTTCACATCGGCACCACTAGAGACACAGTCCCCACACCTTCCAAGTGAATCCTCAGTGGAGAGCAGAGGTAACTGCTTCTCTACAGCCACCTCGAGGGAAGATGAAAACCAAATAAATCCCACTTTAAGCCAGGAAGTTGGACACCTGGATTGGCAAAGTTCAAATTGTGACCACACAGACCTGGACTCAAAAGAGGACCAATCTTTCCATATAAAAGAACACTCCAGGCTTGGGTGCACCATTTCCTCATTTTATTGCATCATTTCCAGTAAATTCAGACATTTTCTTTATTTCTGCCTATATGAAGTTACTCCCTCCTAGATCTGCACACACACTACCACGAGTCCCAAAGTAATACAGCTGGGCCCTTTAATCTGAAAGGGGTAACCATCACAGGACAGCTTCATCTCAACAGGAAGGCCTTGAGGACTGACCCAGCTCCTCCCTTGGGCACACGCCACATCTGACGCCAGAGAGCAGACAGGATGGACTGGTGTAACTGCAGCCACCACCTTCCACAGCTGCCCAAGTCTTACCATTATTAGAGCTCACACAAGCAATACATCCTAGCTCGTTCTTATTCTTGGGTTACCAACAAAAGATATGTGAAGAAAAGAGATGGGTGAAGGCAGCTGGATACATATTCCCAGCACCTGAACTGATTAAAACCCCCACGTGTAACACATTCATTGTTTGCATTTTTAAAAAGTCTTTAAAGTGATTGATTGTGATGTGATTGTATGATCAGGGCTCTTGCCACAACCCATAAAATCTAAAACAATGCAG